AATATATTATTAGCTTATATAAGAGCTGCTAAGTTAGTTATCTATTATTATATTAAGATAATAGTAAAAAAATAGGTCTAAAGATAGAAAGGTTAGTTAGCTGCCCCTCTTTTTCCTATTTTTATAACATAAATTAACCTGATAATATACTATCCCGGGCTTGCCGATCATGCCCTTACCTGCTTGCTCAGAAACTGCATGCAGATATCGCCGCCTGTCATGTCCCCAGGCTCCACTGAATTAACATTAACATTTTAAACATCAGACGCACGCGTCAACCTCGTAAAACGGATCTCGTTACCTCACAGATTCAACACTTCAGCTTCCCCTTTTGGCACTTCTCCAGATAAGCTTGCAAACAAGGTTCTTCTTCTTTTCGCGGGGGAACTCTATTTATTATGTAAGAGGCCAAACCTGGCAATTACCCAACTGTTTCTTTACTAACATTTTCTCTCAATCTGCTTCGCGCGTTTAACAACTGCCAAGAAAAGAACCTACACGCGCGTGGCGTCGGAACTTTTGACGCGCCCCACGGCCTTTTAGAACCTGCCAAGATAAACCTCTCACCCCTGTAGTTTGCAGGCCCGGGCAGAAGTTCCCAGTGCAGAGGACCCTTTGCTTAGCGCCTCGGACTCCCTTGTGTTTCTCCACTTGCGTTTTCCCCAATGGAGTTTTCTCCAAATTTCTCACGTAACGAAAACGTTTTCCCCCAGATTCTTCGTTGGGGTTTGGGTAGTGGTGCGAGATACAGTTGAGATATCGTGCTTGACACCTTGTTCTTATCTCGTAATTGAGATGAGAAATGCGGGTTAACGTCTGTAGAGGTCAGGTCAGCGCAGAGCCGCATGTCGTTGTCGTTTGACAGGCTGGGCCAAGACGGGTACGATAGGCCATTTTCTCGGCGCTGAGGGTTAAATTCTCCGCTGAATCGCACGCAATGCCACTTGGCGTTCGGTTCTCGGATTTAAATATCATGATGCATTTCTTGGCTCTCACCTTGGCGCCATTGATCGCGAGTGCTACTGAATAGGCAGGTCTGTTGCAACTTTTAGACATGTCTTATGATTAAGTCTGGAATCCTCAAAACACATGTCAGCATCGTGTCCCCATCCAGGAACTGCTCAACCCCTGGTCCACCTTTATCCCAAACGGTGGAATGACCCGCTCGAGGCCCTGTTAAAGAACCTGCAACGGTCGGCCGCGATTTGCTCGGACTGAGCGCGTGATAAGCGGGCTCTACCGCTCTAGAATGGGAGATCGACGAGGTATGCCTTATCGCGGATGTCAGGTTGCATTTCCTAGCCCTACCGCGTGGTCTGATTCTAGCCATCACCGAGCTTTGCTCTTCTCGATCTGGTTTTGAAGATCTGGATTAGCCTATTGCAGCTTGCCACTTATCTGTTACATGCGATCGGCGCATGGTGATGGGTTTTATGGGTGCGTCTGGACTTGCATGGGGAAGGATCCTGCGAGCACGGAATCCCGATCCCTGATCACGAACTACGGAGTACACGATGTCTGACCGTAGGGGTTGAGTGCTGGTGGGCGTTGTTACTCTTGGTAAGGAAAGAGGCCAGTGATATCGCTACGTCTTTCGTACTTTGCTTGCCTTGTCGCTGCTGATAGGTTACCGTTGGTCAATCTGAGCAAGCCCATCGGTTGCCGTGTCGTTAAGCCTTGTCGATACAACGGCTGGGATAAGGTTGCTGACGGGTGAAGGCGCTCTGACTGGTGCGTCTAAGCCCTGGAGCTTACAGATTCAGATAGTCTGATAACAGGCGGGTTGCCAACTCTGGACGATTTCCCCAGAAAGACTAACTGTTCTAAAATTAGGGCATGCACTTCACGGTCTTCGGCCGAGATAGTGAAATAGCTTACCGAATGAATCTCAATGACGGGCCCGGGAATAACTTTCGCCTTCATAGCCGATTAATGCCGGACCCAGAACATGACATTATCGAGGGACTCTAATGCCAATGAACAGAGCGAGCGCCGAGATAGGTTCCGTCAAGGATTTGTGTCTCCGATATACTTAACACTGAAACGTGATATCACATCGTCTAGTTATAGATGACTTCATCCGGGGCTGATTCATACCAGCGAGCACATACTGCTTACCTACGACCTGGGGCATACTAAGCTTCAAGAGGCTAGGTTCAACGCTGCGACAGTCTCAAAGCAAGGCTACGGCATACAAGCATGTTCTGTATAAACGACTACATGCATAGAACTGCTTGCCGTATCCGAACGCAAATGATTGATTACTGGCGAAAGGAAGAAGCTCGTGATATCTCAACAGAACCTCTTACGCGAGTACATTAAAAGATCTAACGATGAAACGATACCCCTTACCTCGAGATATCATCCATCTTAGAGACCGATTTCATCTGCGCTTTCTCATAGTCTCCTTCTTACCACGCTCTTGCCCAATAAAGCTGTTCAGATCGATGGCAATGGCTACAGCTGTTTGTTCGATAACTTTATGCATGACAAGTATCATGCTGAAAGTCAACCATGTTTTCCCGGCAAATCCAGAACTGGGCAGGGGAGAGCAAGGCGCCGTAGGAGGGTCTTCCGTAAAACCTGTAAGAGGGGCACCAGCGTAGAGCACACTGAGATATCGGCGGCCATTGAGAAATATACCAGCAATAGAGCCAGCTTCATGCGGTCTTTGCGCACTTCGACGGAATAATAGCCCTTTCCAAATGCCGGAGAACAAGTGACGTCGCAAGTTCGAGGTGTAGAAACAGGACAGTAGGTGGCGAGAACAACCCGACACTGGCATCTTCGCTCCATCGTCATACACGACATCATTTATATAGATCCCTCAAGAATGTACATCTCAAATCAATTAAGCTCAAGATCAAATTCCGCGTTCGCTACCCCACTTGTACAGCTCTAGCGTGGACGAACAGCGGGCGTAGCGCGGAGCATCTCATTCAAGGTTTCTATTGTCGCCAACGCCACATTCTCCTCGACCCGACAATAGAGGAATGTACACCGTTTTCGTCACACCCGAGAACGAAGATCAATTAAAACGGCATCATAGAGATGAAACTTTCACCGGATAATGGAATCCCAACATGCGTAGATCGGAGCGCTGTCTTAATGTCGTCAAGGGAGCTTTGAACCCTTGGAGCTAAGCTTCCCTGAAGATATCTAGATCTCAGATCAGATCATCTTGACAAGCGCCCGCAGCGTACCCCCCATAAAGCTATTGTCAAATGCTTATTCCAATTCCTCGACCAAATAGCGCCTTATGAACAAACTGGCTGAATCTACCCAATCGCATCCACCATGCCCCAAGCCACGTCCACGAAAAGTCGATTAACGCCGTACGACGTGTTTGCCCATAAGCATCGCATGTGCCGAATCCGAATATCAGGATTGCTACCCGATCTCCTGGGACTGCCTGGAATGCAGAGTATCTGCATCAATAGCATTGGCATTTCGCCATCTCGAGCCCAGAACAGCCGCTTTGGGAATGAACCCTTTCGCTGTGTTTGTATTTATTCTGCGTGGCTTGGAAGCAAATCTGTTGGTTCTGCCTTTTTTTTTTCTGTTCATCGCGAAAATCATCTCAGTGGTTAACCTTTTTCCTCTCTCTCCTTCGCTGACTGGGACTGAATTGAACTGTCAGGTTTATAAAGTTGCAGCGCAGAGATAACTCATCATGGCGATCAAAGAGGAAGGGCCTTGGGTCATTGGGGCGATGTGGTCTTTGACGGCTGTTGCGCTTGTCTTTGTCGTGCTGAGGGCGTATACGAGAATCTTTGTCGTCAAGTCTTTCGGTATCGACGACCATGTGTACAATCTAGCCTGGGTACGTTGCGACAAAAGCCGACCTGGACTTCACTGATTTGTGTAGATATTCCTTCTCCTCGACACAGTATTCACAACCGTCGCAGTCGACTACGGCGTCGGCCGAGATATGGACGATGTCATCCAGAACAACCCCTCCGACCTAGCCCCGGCGCTCATCTTCGAGGCTGTCAGCCAAAGCTTCGCGATAGTAGGAATGAGTTTAGCGAAATGGTCACTCGGCTTGTTTCTTCTGCGCCTTGTGAAGCAGCAATGGCACAAGGTGGCTATCTGGATATCCATGGCGAGTCTGATGTGCGCCTCTATCACTGTCTGCTTTGTGTACTGGCTGCAGTGTACGCCGCCGAATTATCTTTGGGATAGGACTATACCTGGTGGACGATGTACGGTGGACACGTCGCCTGCGTCTATGTTGCTCTGCAGTGAGTTCTCATGTGAGCCTGGTGAGGATGCGGCTAACTGGAGGAGTTCTTTGTGTTGTGGTGGACTTTTTCCTTGCTGGCTTCCCTTGGTTGTTTATCTGGGGGTTGCAGATGAAGATGAAAGAGAAGATCGTCATCCTCAGCAGTCTCAGTCTCGGCGTCATGTATGAACAGCTCTCATGATCCTTATTCACGGCTGACTAACGATATTCCAGTGCCGGAGCGTTTGGCATCAAGAGAACTCTCGAAGTACCAAAGCTTAAGAGCCCCAATCACACCAGTACGTCTTCCTGATATATATAGATCAAAGCTAACATCAATCAGAGGACCCAGTCGGCCTAATCGTCTGGTCCGCCGCCGAAATGACCGTAACAATGATCTGCATCGGCATCCCCGTCTGCAGACCTCTTTACAAGAAATATTTCAGCAAATGGAGTTCTCGTAACAGCAGCAAGTATCAGCAGAACTCTGGCGCGTCATTTCCTTTACAGACCATTGGTGGAAGTATAAAGTATCCAGCTCAGGTTCAAAAGAAGGATAGCACGTCTGAATCTTCTGTGCAAGAGTATGAACGAAGGGGTGTTGGGAGTTCATATGGTAAGAATAAGGTGTTTGCGAAAGGGACGGAGAGGGGGTATGGTGAGAATCAGAGTGAGGAGGAGATTCTGGGGCCTGACTTTCGGAGGAGTCAACGGGAGGACATTGAAGCGCGTTATTATTAATATCTAGAGGTCTGTTACATACACGGCAACGGAACAAAAAGGCAAGGCGTAGGTGGGATTGAAATAATAGCAGTACATAATTAATACACGAATTGATACAGAGTTGGTTGTAAAAATGGCAAAAAGAAACTCCGGTACAG